AAACAAAGGAGGGTGGGGGGTTGTGGCGCAGAAACAATGCCTGGCATATGGTAAAACAAAGTGAAAGCAGTTAAGTCTCATTCTCGAATGTTTTCTTTCATTCAGAGTTTAGAATCCACGTTGGTGAATTCGAAGAGAACTAGTAAGACAACCCTCAGCATATTCTACAACTTTTTTTGCAATTTTTTTCCATGTAATCTTTGTACGAGTGACGACAGTATCCACTGGCTGCCCATGAACGACAGTCTTCCTCTTTGTCCACGCACGCACCTTTAAAAAAATAATTATCAGGAATCCAATCAACTTTGAGAAAATAAAGGGGGAAAGGAGGGCTACGAACGTTTTCCACATTCGTGTATCCACTTGCTCATCCCTTTGGCTCCGAATCTAGTTCCCATACTCTTCGATCTTTATTTCCCTTCTCGAGGCCTGGGGAAAAGAGACCCTGAGGACGAACTCACTTCTGTTCACCCCTTCTCAAAAAGAAATTCAAAATATACAAATGTATATAACATACATTGTAAGTAGTGTATGGCATTAAATAGGAAAAAGCAAAACGAAACAAAAACGTATTCGTTTCCAGGGAAGAGGCAACGGCAATGAAACCGATGACTTCTCTATTCACCTTTCACACAAAGACAACTTTTCTGGCAGTTCTCGTTCATGTAATCCGTGTGTCCTCTTTTACAGAATCCTTGTGACGCCCAATAAGCGCAAAACCTGTGCTTGTCTGAGTAACGACAACCTGAAATATAAATAGGACTTGTTAATCAAAGACTCACCCTAAATCCTCCAATCAGCACCTCCCCTAAAATACGCACCCACTCCTCATTCAGTGTCCGGTGTGGTTTTGGGATATCGTTAACTTCTTATTTCCTTTTATGCCCAGAAAGGTATGATTACAGATCAGTCAACAATAAGGTATTCTCCCGTACTAAGGTGCGGTGTCTACCGCGAAGTGGTTGTTATTGATTCCGTTAACAGCTACGAAATAACATATTTATGAAACAAAACAGTCTCACCTGTAGGTGACTTAGTTGTAGGCCTTACACTCGGTGGCTCGTCAGTTGACTTAGTTCTGCAGTAGAGTAACTTAGCTTGCTCGATATCCCTCCGACTCAGTCCCCGAGTATTTCCGAGCCGTGTATCGCCGTTTTTCCGTGCGATAGTGGTTCGGCCGTTCATACTGAAAGCTCGGGAATCGTAATGCATCACACTGTCGTAATCATACGAGATACCAAGACTGTTAATTCTCCCGTCTGCGTATTTGTGAAAGGCATACCTAAATTCTAAACAAAAAGAACAGATAAAGCTCATTGGCATTAATTCACTTGGAAGGATAGGTAAAGTAGAAAATAATTGCGCCGAAGTCCAGGAACCCTTCGTACCTTGTCTTATTGTGGAACCAAGCTTCTTCGAGGCCATTAAAAGGGATATCTCTCAACACCCTCTCGAGTAGCGTTGTATGACAGAGGGGGGAGAGGGAGGGAAGGAATGACCTACTAGCATCCCAGCCGGGGAGGTGACATTATTCTTTCAACACTCTGCTTCTGCAAAGCCACACATAAGAATTCTTTCGATTTGTCTTCCTTCCTTTCAAATCTTCTCACATGATTAATCCAACTTGACATTCACGTTTGTTTTACTTACGAGGGTAAATATTATTCCAGTAGATGTTTACGTAGCTGTCTCGGTCGGGTCGAGACTGTTCGTGCCAGAATCCGAGAGCATGACCTGGAGCGAGAAGAGGACATAGTTACACAGAGGTATAATATGTCGAATCTGTTTGCGAACTGAGCTATTAATTGTGGAATAAAAAAAAAATCAAGAGTTCAAGTGGCTTAGAGATCTCTTACCAATTTCGTGGACGACGATATGTAGGTGTTCACATGCGCGTGCTATGGAAATCCGCTGGGCACCTCCTTGCCTTCCAACGTGCGAAAAACAACTGAAATGTAACGTTATTTTATCATATTATTTCGGTTCAGAAAAAGATTCTCAATTGAAAGCAAACAATTTGTCTTTTACTAGACCGTTCTGCTCACCCTCCACCGGCAAAAAAGCTGATGTAAGACCGCTGATTCGTTCGCTGGACGAAACGCAGGCATGGCACGTGTCGGACCCAGTGATCTATCCCTTGTTTGATTACCCGGTGAGCGTGACCTGGATGCCAGAAGAGAAGATTGAAATTACGAAGCGCGAGGAGTGGGTGAGAGAAACAGGAAGAATAAGTCAACATTTACCAAAAGGTACTTTGTTAAAAAACGAAACAAACAAACAAAAACCGGTCGCTGAAAATTTCACGTTTTACTTACGAACGCTTGACTCAAGTTGGTAGGGGATCTCTGGCTTGTTATTGCTTCCAATCCATCTCCGTGCAATGTTTGAAATGGCAGCTCGTTTTCGCCTTGATGGACTGGTTGGGCTGTCACGCGGTGGGAATAGGCCCATGTCACGCAATTCGTCACGTATATCGTCTGTCATTAGGATATCTCCTTGAAAAAGCTCGTACCCGTCTGATAAGGGTGACAAGTTAGATCACAGATTATTTTCAAATGAACTTGCTTCTGTTTTCCTCACTTGAATTATGATCTAATTCTCCCAATTTGAACTACAATAAGTGATTAACGACTATTAGGGAGATTCTAAGTTATAATCATAACCATTACAATTTCCCAAAATGTGATTGGTGCATCAGCTACATTATATTTCACTAATCACTTTGTGCACTTGTAATCGGACAGTGTAATAGGACAGTGTAATCGGACAGTTTGCTGTAATTTGACACCTGAAACCGGACAGTTGAAGCAGCCAATCATACTAAATCCACTCAGCTAAATCCACCAATCACAGAATTGATCACAATAACCATAGCAACAACCACTTACCCTATAAAAAAATCAGGAAAATTTCCAAGTATTTCGCTTTAGACATTGTCCTTACTGGAGATGTTTATCCTAGATGTATTTGTTGTTTATTTTTTTGGAAATTGTAATGGTTATGATTAATGGGTAACGGGACTTCGTGTCGTCCAATTCTGTTTGTAATCATACTCGTCATTAACAAATCGGACTCCCGCTTCGCGGTCGTCCGATTTTGTTGATCACTCGTATGATCACAGACCGAATTGGACACCGCTCGGTCCTATTACCATTGTAAATAAATTTGAGAGTCTCTCACTCACCTCTGCTCTTTCCTTGTATGCCGTTCGCTTCCATGATCATTGCGAAAGCTGTCTTAGGCGTCTGAGTCTGATTTGCCTGAGTTTGCGTGGAATTGTCTTGAAGAAGAAATATCAAGAAAAGTTAATACATATACTTCAAATGTTTTCCCTTCCATTCGTTCCCTTCTCCTGACGTTTCTGATCATTGTTTTCTCTCAGTTCAGTTCATTGAGAATTCGAAGACTCGAGATTGCTGAATAAAAATTCTGTTTGAATCACACAGACAATTCTTGGTTGAAATCTTTTACTGCGAAGGAGTCTTAGGAGTGTTATAGATGTCTTAAATATAATGTATGCTTGCATAATGAGCCAGTAAGTTTCAAGATTTTCTCGAGTGTGCTGTGTAACAACAAGAAAATCTGGTTGTGAGCAACAAATTATCATTTTGAATTCCAATGACTATTGAGAACAATCAGATAAATGAGCGTTCAGAGTTTTGAGACGAAACAACTAACCTTGGTTTTTTTCGGAGTTTTGCAGAATATGACCCCGAGCATTGATCAGAAGAGTACCAAAAAGCACAAATGTCGCGACGCAAGAGTTAAACATGTTGCTGTTCTTTGGAAAACGTATTCGAAGACGTAGCATTAAGGGTACGCACTTCAAACTAAGGCGCAACAAATACTATTAAAAGAAAAGCATTGTTTATTTTCAAGGCGTCGCGTTGACAATTGATTTCCATTTCCTGACCAGGAGTTTTTCCAGATATCAAATCCAACCAGACCAGCCGCCCTCACGTACCACGCAATAATAAACATGAAATAATTGCCTGTCCTTGACGCACTACCGGGCAGACAAAGAAAATACCTCTTCAGCTTGCATACTTCAGACAACGATTCTATTGTATTTAAAAGAGAAAGCGTTTGTGCCTAGGAATTTTACCCTCCTTATCCTTCAAGCGGTCATTTCCGTGCGCTAAGACCGCGTGGTTTAAGGAGAAATAAGCTAATGATCAATTTAATGTAAACGGGAAATCTCGGTTAGGTACTGGATGTCTGATCATAGAAGCATTTTTGGCCTTTTAGAACTTTAACATCTTAACTGGAATTAATCCGAGAGCTCGCAACGTTTCCTATGCGTGGTATGTGCAATAAACATATCCTTTTCCGCTGTCTGACGGACGCCCGGAAGTAATGTTGATCGATCTACCATCAAGTTAGATTTCCATATTTGCAGAAAGCCCAAGTAAAGGCATCATGAGACACATGCTAAGGAGTATCACTTTCAACCTTCTGAAGTTCATAAATAAAGCCTAATCGCAAACAAGCGCTGTGGAAAATAGTGATAGCTTGATCAGGTCCATTTGCGGACCCATAGTCGCAATTTCATAAGCACGAAATAAATCATTATAAACGGAAAGAAAAACTATTCTCTCATAATTTGTCTGATTGTGCGACGTCGCCTCTCAAGATGATTGCAGCTCTATGACGTCATTATGTCTTTGTCACGTCACTCCCTCGCTTGTTCGTGACCAGGCATCACGTAGGTGGTTTTTTTAGTTGGGATCACGTTTAAACAGAGCTAGCGTTGATGAGTTTTGTGATTGCTGATGATCTTTGGTGTAGAATAAGTACGATTGAGATTTTTCAGATTTTCATCTCCAATTTAATTTTTTAATCATAAAACATAAACAGTTTCTCCTGCTTCCTGTCAGGACAGAGTGCGTGACATGGAGGAAAGTGTAACTGGATTAGCTTCTTCTTACTAATTGGACTTCACACGTTACCTCGTACCTAAGGACTTCATAAAAAGGATTCCTCAATCCTCGCTAACGACGCATTAAAAGAAATCTTTTTAAGCATTTTAATGCTTTCAAAAGTTGAGGGTACGTAAAGTTTCAGGTAAACCACGTCACGAGAGGTCCTAACAGTAATGGTCCAGCTTTATTCCAACGGGGATGTTTTAATTGTAATCTTATTAGGGATGGGTGCCGTTGATCTTTTGTAAATCTACTTAAATCAGACACGCATTTTATGAGAGCATAAAAACACATAAATCTGTCCATCTTTTCCAAAGATCGGAAGTTGAATAATAATTTGACCTCTCCCGCCTCTGCTGATGACGAAGTTTAATGTTGTTATTACCAAATACGTAACCTGAATTCACATCAGCAGCTGAGGTGTCAGTTGACAACACCCACATTGAAAGATCATGTTTTATTAAAAAAAGATATATAAATAACCGAATCAACTTCGGAGAGTATCTCTCAGCAAGAGCATCCAACAGAGCGTACGAACAATTTTCAGTATAGGAGAAGTGACACAAGACTAACGATGTTTCGTATGATTCTACTGGCAGTTTTTCTGCAAATGAGTGAATGCATTTTAACACCAGATGGACTAATGCAACCTCCAGGTATGAAAATTTTTGAGTCAACTGCAAATTTTAATAGATGGATTTTTGAGTACTCCTAGATCAAAGTCGTATATCCTATATTGGAGCATTTTGAGAGTTTTTGTAAGGTCAGCACAGTCGATTATTTCTATGTAAGGACTTCAAAGAAGTCAAAACTAAACGGCATCTCAATTTTTTAGCCCCAGGTCAACTGCAGGGAAATACCTCGACATCAAAAGAGGAAATTTCGGCCTTTCAAGCTATCGAACAGGCCAACAATGCTGTTGGAAACTTACGAAGTAAGCACTGATTTTTTTAGCTAGTTACTTACCTTCTTTACTCTTACCGTAATCCAGTCTTATGAATGACGACATTCTTGTTGTTTCTTCAAAAAATATACTTTGAGCACAAAAGCAATTGAAAAAAAAAAATATATATATATACGCTCTGTGACTGAGTTCGTAATTTGCAGGTTTACCGTTTATGTGAGCGTGTTCTGCGATTATAAATACGGTTTTCATTTATTAATTGATTTAATTTTTTTATACTTTTTGAGTGACGGACAGGAGCGGGCTTTTCTTGCACGAGGGAGATATCGAACTAACAGGCTGGCAACGGAAAATTCTCAAGAAGCAGAACTCAGGAGGACGACAGAAGCGCGGTGCTATGAGAAGTCTCGCTCGGCGGTGGATGGATTCAAACGGGCGTCCTTTGATTCCCTACTACATCGAGGGCAGTGTGGGTGAGTGTGAACGCATGAACAGAATGCAAAACTATGGGTACTCTAAGTAAGCAAATTTTCTTTCCCCAAGCCACGCGTGATCAACCCTGAGAGACGTAGGTAGAGTTTTTAGCCAGGGGGTTAAGAGGGGGGGAGGGTGGAAAGGGGGTTACGACACTAGCCCCTTAATCTGAGATATGAATTAAGCAGATGCTCTCCGTGTATCTTACACCTTACCCCTTTTCCCTTGTTTACGTCCTTACATTTCTCGTATCGGATGAAAGTACTTTCGCCTTTTTTCGTTTAGAAAAACAGAGAGCAATGTTAAATATATTAAATTCAGAAGAGATAATGGCGCGCGAATCATGGTCGTTTTGGGATGTGTAAAGACCTTTCACTTTTCATGAACTTTTACACGCAATCTCGTCTTAACAGTAATGGTTTTAACACATTAAGGTGTGTATTTGTCTTGTTGCAGCCCATGCTCGCCGTGTTATAGATGCTGCCATCAGACAATGGATGAGTAAAGTTCCTTGCCTGAGGTTCGTTCGAAGAACAACTCATCGTAATTACATCAGCTTCTTTTCTGGAGGAGGGTAAGGAAGAAACTCAATTATCAGGAAGGCCAGGTCGCTTAAACAACTTCAAAAGCACTGTTTGACGTCAATATTTCCATCTAACATTTGTGTTCTTTCATTTTACAGCTGCTATTCCATGGTGGGACGAGTTGGAGGAGGACAAAAGATTTCTATTGGACGTGGCTGTGATCACATTGGCGTGGTCGTTCATGAAATTGGTGAGTGAATAAGAAAAAAAAGCTTAAGAAGTTTGATTTATTTGCTGCGGTAGTCTGGCAAGATTTGAACTTCAGAATTAATAAATCTTATATTTCATCTTTTTTATAAAACTAACATTTGCTACGCATTTTCTTTTAGGACATGCTCTCGGGTTCTGGCACGAGCAATCCCGTCCCGATAGGGATCGTTACATCAACATTCACTGGAATAACATCCCAAGCGGTAAGTGAAATAAACCACTCGAAAGCCATATCAGCTTCATCATTTTCCCTTAAATAACCTGATATATCAAATGAAATATTTATGTAGGTATGTATCATCCCTATTAGAAGCGGATAAAACTTTGTGAAACTTTGGTGAGCCAGAACATGTTTCATCGTTCTCCAAACCCAAATTGAAAGATTTGAAAGATTTGGATTGTTCAAATTGCTATTCAATGTGAACCATAGGTTTTTTGATGAACTGAAGCTTCTAATACTTCAACACAATATTTCGAAAAAGAAGTTTAGCATACATCGTCAATTGTATACACATCAACTCATTTTGAGTTCTATATTCCTCGTCCAGGATTCCACTCCCAATTCAGGAAGATGTCGACAAGTGCCATTAACTCACGTGGAGTCTCGTATGATTACGACAGTGTGATGCATTACCACTCTACCGCGTTTGGTAATGGACGTATAACTATCACACGCAAAGATGGCAGCACCAAGCTGGGAAACACTCGAGGATTGAGCGCCAAGGATGTTCAACAAGCGAACCTGATGTACTGTAACGGACAACCAGTAACTGCAAGACCACCCACAGGTACTGCTGCGTTGTTTTGTTTTGTTTTGTTTTGTTTTTTTCCTCTGGCTATGTTTTTAACCTGGAAATGTTCCTGATTCCACAAAGCAGCGAAATTTGAGATATCCGGGACCCTTTAGCCATCTGGTGCCCGCGTCATGATAACCATGATACCCTCTGGTACAACTTCATTCAAATCATCGGATGTAATGGGTACAAAATTGGAATTTCATTTGGTGTCTTCTTAATTCAGAGCGTTCGCTTTACAATGTGTGAAATCTAGACAAGTTTTGCCACTAAAGATCTGAAAAAACAAAAAACAGAAGGGCGAAGTTTCGCAAAATCTCGGCACAGGTTCTAATTCAGAGGGCAAACTTAAAATGAATAGTTCACGATACAAACTGCCGCATTAATCCTTTAACCCCAACAAGTGATCAACATGTAACTTCTCCCTACGATCTCTTTACATTGTGTTGCATAAAGGTATTGAGAAAACTCCAATTTATTAGATAATAGTTGTTATCTTGATCTGACACTAAATTCTCATAACTGATTTACAAAGTAATGTGCAGCAGCTGGAAGGGAGAATTAACAATCAGATCTTGAGAATTAAAAAGTTAAATGACTTTTCCCATCACATTTCAATAAAAAAAAAATTATAAAGTTATAATGTCTTGATTCCATTTTTTTGGTACTTCCCTCTAATGTCATTCTGCAAGTGTCTGGTAAGCTGTTGCATCCTGCGGTCACAGATGTTTATTTCTAATCAAAGTGATTTGCTTTCATCAACAGGCTGTCGATACAAAGACAATAACCGCAACTGTCCATCTTGGAAGGCCAGGGGTTACTGCACACACACATATCAGGAGTATATGAGACGAAACTGCCAAAAGAGTTGCTTCTGCGGAACAAGTGAGTTAATTTTTTCCCTAACCTGTCCAGTTTATCAAATTTCACGAGTTCAGTCCGTATGTTGCTTATCATTTAATAATCATTACAAGTACTTTACCTGGAACAATTTGTAATTTTATGTGTGTCTTTTGTGTCAAATCATATCGACCTTGCTTTAATTTTTACAATTTTTTTTTTCATCTTAAGACTTAAGGATGATAGCATTCAATTGAATGAATGAGTGATCAATCTATTTATTGAATCAACCTTTGATTGTTTCCACAGACACCAACTGCGCTGACCTTCATCAAAACTGCCCAAATTGGAGAAGAAGAGGTTTCTGTCGTCGAAACTCACAGTACTACACCTACATGTCAACTAATTGTAAAAAATCCTGTGGCTTATGCTAAGAGCGCTTAGTTTTCAGTGCAAGAGTTGTATTATAAACTAGTATTTTTTTAAAGGAAAAATGTAAAACCGCTCTAAGCATTTTTTTAATCCAATCTTAAGTTTTTAGGTGCATTAATAAAATGTGTATTCTTTAATAAATAGTTTCTTTTCTCTCTTTTCTTTCCAAAGTGATAGTTAATAAATATAGATGAATTTTTGACGCTGCAAGGAAGAAATCAAGCAGCAGCTTGCTGGACGTTAAAGTGACGTTCTGTTTACTTGTCTTTAAATATATATATTTAAGTAAGCGCGAGCTGAACCCGAGGCAAGTGGGAGAATAGTGCGAGGATAGTTTGCGGAACTGGATGCACTCGAATGAAAGAGTCATTTTTTTTAACGCGCAACTGATAAATTTCCTTCATTTGTTTTGCGTTTTTCAGGTGAACTTAGGTAAGCGCGAGGCGCGCGTAACAGAATCGCGTCAGCAACGCATATCGATGGACGACCGCAAGGAGTTGAGTAATTTTTTAGGCGCCAGTCCCTTTCCGTTCTCCAACTATAGAAGCTCTTGAATGTTAAATAAATTCCCCTTGTCGTACCATAGGATATGATTAGAAAACAGTATGAAGAATATTTTTGTCAAGGAGACTTCAGAAAAGGTCCTTGGGTTGGAAAGGTTTCAATGTATACAGTTGTTTTGCTGTTTCGACGTTTCGAATCGTTTGCACGTCTGACTTATGTCTGGGTACTCACATGCAGTAAACGTGATTTGTCTGTCAAATTGACAAGTCGGGGAGTACAGTGGGGTTTATATAAACATTTTTTAGACATTTTCGAGGTTTCTCGAGCACCGATGTTGTTATTTTTTTAAAGATATTTACTTTAAAGAGGTAAAACGCGCGTTTTGTCAACAAGCGCTGTGTTACAGGAGGTTTACGATATGCGCCACGTGCTACCGGATAATAATGACCAAGTTTGTCTTGGTCATACACAATGGAATGATGACAGAAAAGTGAGATATGACAGGACAGAAAAATATCCAACTGTGTTTTACCTGCGTAATAAAAATTGAAAATAAAATCATTTGTCACGTCTGCCACAACTTTGATGATACAGTGTCTAAGAAGATTAACGCTTGCTACAGTCTAAAGCTGACCGTTGCATATCAGTTAGACATGATATCCTTGTGGGTTTGTGCAGCTTTGCTTGTGGTAGCACAAGTTGAGGAATCGTCTGCAGCTCCCACAGGTAAAATTTCGCTTTTGCACTGCGCAGTTCAAATTCCGTTCTAGTTTTGGGAGTTTGTATTGAACAGTCGATAATTTCTATTGAATTATAGTGAAGAAAATAAAACTAATCATCAGCTGGATTTTTGCTAGTCACAGATCAGCTACAAGGGAATTCGTCGAAAGCAAATACCTCGACAGCAAGAGGGGAGTTCTCTGCCTCCGCCTTCCAAGCGATCGAACAGGCCAACAATGCAGAGGCAAACTTACGAAGTGAGCACTGATTTTTTTCATTAATTTATCACATTTTCAGATTTGCTTCATCCTTATGCTTTATCTAGTCTTATGAATGACGGCGTTATTGTTGTGGCTTAAAAAAATTTTGGCGTAATACGACAGTAAAAATCTGTGACCATGTTCATTACTTGTGGGTTTACTGTTCATGCAAGCGCACTGTGCGACTGAGTCGCTTGTCATTTATTCATTAATTGTTTTTATTATAATCAACATTATTCAAGTGTCAGACAGAAGCGGGCTTTTTTTACACGAGGGAGATATCGAACTAACAGAAAGCCAACGAAAAATGATCAAAACCCAGATCTCTAGCGGACGACAGAAGCGCGCTACATTAAGAAGTCTTTCTAAGCGTTGGATGGATTCAAGAGGTCGTCCTTTGATTCCCTACTACATCGAGGGCAGTGTGGGTGAGTGAGTGCTTATAAAACTCTACAGTATCTAGTTTCTCTCAGCAGCAGTTTTTGCCCACGCCTGAATAACCGCAAACCTCACTTCTGCGACGCGGGCAAAGTTTCTGGAGTAGGGCGCAGTGGGGGGGGAGGACACTAGCGCCCGACTTAAATTTTTCCCGATATTCTAGGTTATTATTACTGTATTGCATGTGGATCGAACTGACTTTGCGTTCCTCGTATCAGATAAAATAAGTTTGCGCTTTTTTTTATTTTGAAAAACGGAAAGATAAAGTAAGCAATATACATACATATTCAGTGAGAAGGGAGATCTGATGCGCAAATGATGAGTGATTTTTGCTTTAACTTTAACCCGCGATCTCGTCTGTACAGTGATGATTTTGAAGCATTAGGGTGTGGATTTTGACTTGTTGCAGCGCATGCCCGCGGTGTCATAGATCAAGCCATGAGACACTGGATGAGTAAAGTTCCTTGCCTGAGGTTCGTTCGAAGAACAACTCATCGTAACTACGTCAGTTTCTTTTTTGGAGGAGGGTAAGGACGCAGTCATTGTTTTTACGTCTACACTGTAGGCCAGGTTACCAATACATCTGCAGCGGGGCTCTTTGACGTCATCGCGCCGTCTAACATTTGTGTTATTTCACTTAACAGCTGCTATTCCATGGTGGGACGAATTGGAGGAAGACAAAAGATTTCCATTGGGCGGGGCTGTGATCAAATTGGCGTGGTTGTTCATGAAATTGGTGAGTGGTTGAGGAAAAAACTAATAAAATTTGAAACATTTGCTGCGCAATTCTGGCTCGTCAAGATGGAGAACTTTGTTTCCTTCAAGCCCTTTTTCATATTTACTTTTATTCTGATCGGATTTTAGGATTACTTTGGTTTTGGTTTTACGAGACTCGGAAAAAAGCTCTTTAGTGTATCTCGGAACCATTTGTAAGCCCTTTACATCAAGATCTCTCTTTACTGTCTGCCATACAATTCTTATGACGTTAGTGCGGGGAATTTGGTATTGGATCAACTAGTAATTCCCCTGATTGATATTTTTCTTTATTGTAATATCTTGTCTGCTTGATTTATTATTGATATTGTGGGGAGAAATTATACGTTGGTCACTCATGGGTTAACTATGAAAATAGATGATGGAAATCATAGACATTTTTGAGCTCGGTCATCAAGCAGACACTTCTTATCACCAGCGCATAAATTCATTTCTTGCTAGTAGGGATTAGGAACATAATTATGTTTATATACGAATAACATTTAATTTAGAGAGTCTCTCTCACCCGAAGAAGCCTCCCAAAAATAATATTTGTTTTAATTACTTTTCAGGACATGCTCTCGGGTTCTGGCACGAGCAATCCCGTCCCGATAGGGATCGTTACGTCAACATTCTCTGGAATAACATCCCAAGCGGTAAGTAAATTAAGACATGAAATCAAGTTGTCATTCCCGTCAATAGCGGGTAGAAACTCTGCCAAACCAGAGTAGCACAGGAATACAAAACAAACTTTGGCGAGAAGAAATGTCTCAAAAGATTGGGATTGTTTGAATTGTTATTCCATATCAAATAAAAAAAATCTTGATTCGTATGTTTGTTCTCCAGGAGTCCGCTCCCAATTCACGAAGATGTCGACAAGTACCATTAACTCGCGCGGAATCTCGTATGATTACGACAGCGTGATGCATTACCACTCTACCGCGTTTGGTAATGGACGTATAACCATCACACGCAAAGATGGAAGCACCAGGCTGGGAAACAATCGAGGACTGAGTTACAAGGACATCCAACAGGCAAAATTGATGTACTGCCCCGGACAACCCACAAGAAGACCTGTTACTGCAAGACCAAGGCCGCCCACGGGTAACCAACACGCCTCTGTTTCCTTTTTCCCCGGCAATTTTTTTTAGCTTGAAGTTTTTCCTGATTTTGCAATGTCCAGTGAAATCTGACACCTACCGGATCCGATCTGGTGCATGCGTTAAAATAACTAGCTTAGTGTTTCTCGCATCGTCTTAACGCTGTAACTCCCAGAAGTAATTAACATGTAACTTCTCCCCATAATATCTGTACACTATCCAGAAAATAAGTGATGAGAATACCAAAACTTATTAGGTAGAAGCTGTTATGTTGATCTGATACCAAATTCTCATAACTACTTTACAGGGAAATGCGTAGCAGCTAGCGAGGAGAATTAACAATCAAATCTTAGGGGCGAAAGGGTTAAATGGGCACCTCACTGGGACTGCAGTTAGTGCCTGCTTGACACAAAACGTCCGCTTGATATAGGGCTAGCCCTACAAGTTTTGCAAAGAACGATTTTAAATGATGAACAACAACCAAAGTTCAAAAAAATCTCGGCACAGGCTCTATTTCAGAGGGAAAACCTCAAAGGAATAAACAGATCCGCAATTCCTTTCAAAGGAATATTTTGATTTAAGAACAATTTGAACTGTCGCGTTTAGCCAATAGTACCATTATGATCCTGTGCATTTTCCCAACTCACAACCTCACCAGCCCTTTTTACTCACTTCCCACTCACGTCACTCTGCTTGTATCTGTTATGTTGTTGTATACTGCAGTCACAGATGTTTCTAATACTGAGAGATCTGCTTTCATCAACAGGTTGTCGATATAAAGACAATAACCGAAACTGTCCATTTTGGAAATCCAGGGGTTACTGCACGCACACACATCGGACGTACATGAGACGAAACTGCCAAAAAAGTTGCTTCTGCGGAACAAGTTAGTTTCTCTTCACAAACTGTCCAGAATGAGACGTTAATGATCATTAGCAGTAATTTAACTGCACCACATTGTAACTTTGTGTTTGTGTTGTTTAAATAATTGTAGCGACTCTGCTTTTGTTAGAAATTTATTCATTTATGAATTTTCATAAATAATAATAATAATGATAACAATAATAACAATATTCATGATATTTGATGATTAATTCAACGGCTTTTAATGGTCAGGGTCAATTAAATGAGTTATTTTATGGTTAATTGATTTATTTATCTCTTAAATATAAATTTATTTGTTTCTTTTTTGTTTTCTCAGATACCAACTGCCGTGACCTTGAGCGACACTGCCCAGCTTGGAGACAGAGAGGTTACTGTCGGCGAAACTCGCAGTACTACACCTACATGTCAAAAAATTGTAAAAAATCCTGTGGCTCCTGCTAAACCAGCTTAGTCTGCGAAGCTGGAAAAATGTGAAATCACTCTGAGGCAAAGTTTGTTGTAGCTACACGTTTTTCAATGCGTTAATAAATTGTTTATTCTCTATCTGATTTTTTCAATAAATAATACCAGGGTATTAAAGCCGGGAAGCTATTTCAAAAGCTTTCAAGTTATTACTACATACGCATTAGTTTACCGAGCAGAAACTGTCTGCTTCAAGTAAACTCCTTGAGACGTGTGCGTGTCTGACGCACGTATGGTGACAGGTCACCCACGCTAAACGTTACCGTGATTTGTCTGGATCTGGCAAAGTAACAAGCTGGGAAACATGGAAGGTTCAATCAGGGAGAATTCTTCATTCATTTTCTCGGGGTTCCTAGAAAAATAAAACGTTAGTTTTAGATGGTTATCATGACGAAAGCTGTTGAATCTGGAAGTTAATTTTAATATAAACCGAAGTCGGTGAAAAAGTGCGTTTCAGCAGACGCTGTCTTGCAGGAGTTTTCCAATATACGTTACGTGCAACCGGATAATTATGACCACGACGGATTTGATCAGGTCAAAAGGTAAGGCAAAGTGAGATATGAGAGGGCAGAAAAATATCCAGCTGTGTTTTACCCTACGACATCCAAATCATTGAGCAATAAAAGTGTCTACGTAATAGGAATTGATGAGAACGCGTTAGTCACGTCTGCCACAACTTTGATTATATAAGCAGAACAAGAAAGCTTTTCTATTACGCTTGTTGTAGACTGAAGCTGATCCCTGGAGATAAGTTCAACATGAAATTGTTGTGGATTTGGGCAGCTGTGCTTGTGGTAGCACAAGTTGAGGAATCATCTGCAGCTCCCACAGGTAAAGTGCGTGTAAAATTTCTCCTCTACACTGCGCACCTCAAACTTTAGCCACGGTTTACGTTTAGCACTTCGGTCGTTTTCCGTTCAAAAAGATTAAACCACAGCCATTTATGCTCTTCCATTTATCCGCCTTCTTGTCATTTTCCAACTTCCTCGCTCCGTTTGGCTGATGTTCTCAGTAATGTGGAGACATGTTCCACGTGCAAACGATGCAGGAGCAGAAGGCTTTGTTGTGACTTTGTGCTTTTGTTGAGATTCTACAGATGACATCTGTTACACTCGCAACACAACGAACGGAAAGTGCTGTGTGTTTCCATTCACTTACAGAGGCGTGGATTACTATGAGTGCACAACGAAAGATTTTGGGAGAGAATGGTGTTCTTTAAATGATGTCTATGAAACTGACAGGCAATGGGGATTTTGTGGTAAGTTTCGATAAATGCTTAAAAATGAGCGAACATTAGCGCGTGTATGTCTATTGTGAGCTACTACGATATCCAATTTCTAAACGTTTACAGACGTCACAGGCCATGGATGTTTCAATCGGTCAGGAAATGTTTGTAACTGGAAAGTAACAACAACTATCTGGGAATCACCAAGAGATATGAGGCAACAATTTTGGATCAGGCGGCATATTAAATCAGAAGTTATGCGCACTTATTGATTAGATTTAACATCTCCGTGAAATACTCCTCTTGTTTTTTTTTTGTCAATTATCGACTGCTGAGTTGCGAAACTACTACAGCTCGATATACCATTAAAATAATCCCAAGGATCACTTATCAGTGGAACAATCAATCACTTCCACGGTCACGAAAGAAATTTCCCTTTTGATGACAGATACAGTTCAAAGTGTCACATATTGACAATTTCCGTCATTGGCGTTACACTGTCTGCGTAGATCATGGTTTGTGCCGGCTCTCCGCATAGGGTATACTGTGATGACCTTGAATAACCGCAATAAAAGCCCACGGTTTGTCACGCTTCAGGTGTAAGGTTGGGTAGAGTGCTTGACGAGTTGGTTCGAAATTTACAATAACATCATGAAAAAAAAAATTGCAGCAAAATACTCGTTCGGAATATTCATAGATTCCAATTTTTTCTCTACTTAGCCCTCTTACAGACCGAAAAAAAATTGGCACACGAACTTGCAAATTTACGTGGTAGATCCGTGGTGTTTGTTCTTCATTTTTCTTTATAATCCCAACCTTTAACTGCGCTATAATTGGTAAACCCCTCGTTGTCTCTCACATTTAGCACTTATCCCTTCAAAGATTTGTTTATATTAACCAAGCTAATTTATGTTTATCCTAGCAAACGAGACAATGAAGCCTGTCTTTGACACCATTCTTGAAGCAACAGGAGAAAATGGCAGGTCCAGAGGTAAATTATTTCACGTTTTTAGCTATACAGTTACCAGATAAGTCGAGAAAAACTGGGTTCATGCTACAGACTGTTAAGTTCAGGTACTCTCGCGAAAAACTCCACAACCGTGCACAATATCGCAATATATAGAATTTTAAACGCCTTTTATGGTTTATATTCCTGCCCTTACTCTGATCTTTTTTCCTGTTTAGATGGTAAAGAAGCTTTGTTTCAAGGTGACATAATCATGACCCGAGAAATACGTGACAGCCTCAACAGCCGCGGGATCCTGGTGCCTCCTAAGAGGATGGCAAAACCTCAGAGCAGACGAAAGAGGGCGATCATGAGGGTGTCTGGAGGCAGCGACCTTCGATGGCTTGTTGGTAGTAGTGGAAAGCGAGAAGTCCCCTATTACATTACAAGCTCGAACCGTGAGTATACGTCTAACTAATTTTATAATAGGTCTTTGAGTATCTCTCTTAATATTTTGCTTTTGAATATCATGAAATTGTTTCTATCGTTTCAGTGTTAGGCTTCATCGTAGATTTTAAAAGAATAATTCTATTTTTACTCCTTCAGATAATGTGCGTGGAGTTATCCTGCGTGCTATGAAGCACTGGGAGGAAAGAGTGCCTTGCCTAAAATTCGTACAGAGGAGCAGGGAGAGTCGTTACCTTAGTTTCTTCTCCGGTGGAGGGTGAGGAGCAGATGCTTATATCGTCAAAGACTAACTTAACGACGGAGGAATTAATTAAGTGGCAACATTATAGACTTAATACCTGCTTGCTTGCCTAATGGACTTACTGAAAGACTGACTGAATGCCTCACTGGCTCAATGGCTGACTGACAGACCAACCGAGTGGCTGACTCGCTGACTAACTGACTCACTTGCTCACTGACTCACGAGGTAACGGACCGACTGACTGACCGACTGACCAACTAACCGACTGACTGACTGATTGATTGACCAACTCACTGACTGACTAACTCAATGAGTGACTCACTCACTCACTGGCTCACTGACCTACGGAGACACAAACCAATTGACTGACCGACCCGCTGACTGACCAACTAACCGACTGACTGACTGACCAACTGACTGACTAACTCAATGAGTGACTCACTCACTCACTGGCTCACTAACTTACAGGGTAACTGACCGATTGACTGACTGACTGACTGACTGACCAACTAACCGACTGACTGACTGACTAACTCAATGAGTGACTCACTGGCTCACTGACTGACTTACGCACTGAATGACGTAGTCACTAACTGACTTACTCACTGAGTTTATTACGGACACACATACCATTACTTCTTTGCAGTGGATTACATGAATAATTTCTCTGAACTATTAACCCATCACAACTAATAAACACACGTTAACTGTTACTTTATTTTGATCTTTCAAGATGTTATTCTATGGTAGGCCGACAGCCTGGCTCGGGGCCTCAGAAAATCTCCATTGGAAATGGTTGTGGTTATCTGGGTGTAGTAGTGCACGAGATAGGTATGGCAAATCTTTGTAACAGTATCTGTTTCTTCTATAGTTGGAGCTTACGTGAGGTCAGCTTAGAGGATAGAGCGCAGTCGAGTCTAATTTATTGTTTACTAATTGTTTGTTTCATAACAACTTCCAATGATTTGGTTTTTTTCCTTTGTATCCCGCAGGACATGCCCTCGGATTCTGGCACGAACAATCCCGTCCTGACAGAGACTCTTATGTGACAATTAACTGGCAAAACATCCAAACGGGTATACTTTAAAATTTTTATTGATGACAACGCACCTACTATGATGGCTGAAGTTTAAAGTTATATCTTAAGATATGGGTAAGATTTTTGCGTGGTTAAAATATTCAATTTTTTTCCCGCTAAGGTATGGCGTATAACTTTCATAAATATGGAACCAATCGGGTAGACAGTCGGGGTGTCTCGTATGATTACGACAGTGTTATGCACTATTCCTCCACGGCCTTCGCTAACCGCAGGGGAGTAAGAACTATCGTCGGCAAGAACGGCCGCACTAACCTTGGTCAGCGGTATGGGTTGAGTAGGTTAGACGTTGAGCAAGCCAAGATGTTGTACTGTGGTCAGCGACCCAAGCCACAAACACCTCCGCCACCAGGTAAGTTTACCAAACAGACAGCTATGCTTTTAATATTATTAGTCAGCCAGCTAATGTGTTATCAAGTCTTTACCGATTGGGTCTAGAGTTTTTTCCGTCAGGTGTCATTCTGTCTTCCGTCAATTAATAGAAAGGTGTGAAATCAGTCTTTCAAATGAGTCACGGAGTTCACCAGTCGATAAATCGTTAAGACAATCAATCTGTCTGTCCGTCAGTTATCTGTCTGTCTTTCTGTCTGTCTGTGTCATTGAACCAGTATATTTTAGTCTGTCAGTGGGTTATTCGCTGAGTCAAGACATAGATCAACGATAAAAAATTCAACTTAATGTTATGTGATAAATCAGTAACTCATTTTCGTTAGCCGCGCACATAAAAGCTGAGGAGTTGAGCTTTTTCCCTTATTAAGTTGAAAATTGGCTGAAAGAATCCCTAACCCAGGATTTACAGTCTGAACTTTTCTAACCCATAATTGATTGTCGCCATCTTTCCATAAATAAAAAATTTCCGGCTGAACAACATGTTTAGCAATGAGACCGATAAACGTACCGCTGGTGACTTGAAAATATCAATAGTATATTATACCTCCCTCGCTCTCAAGGTGACCAAATAAGAATTTCTCCTTACAGAATCAAAACGTTTGCAAGTACCAAGGTGATGAAATTAGGTACAATATCACTTACGGAGGTTTTCCGAATCAACACTAAATTCATAGAGCTAATATTTAAAAAATGCATGGTAGACAGGGCGGGGAATCGAAATTTAGATATTGTCGTTATTTTTATTTTGAATTCAACGATTTCTTTTTCAAGTCTTTTATCTTCTATTTTGGGACAGGTTGTTCTCCTGATCGTCACGATTGGTGCCCATATTGGGCCAGTGAAGGATACTGCACTGATCCACGATATTCCACATACATGAATACAGACTGTCAGACGAGCTGCAAGAGGGGGTGCCAAAAACCTCGTGAGTAGAAATCAGTACAGTGCTCAGGGGCGGATACAGGGTGTTTTGATGCGGGTAGGGGAGAGGGTCAAATCTTTTATTCGGAAAACACAGGTTGCAGTTGTTTTTTTTTTTTTTGCATTCTAGTCTAAATGAGCTACGAAATATTTCTGAGTAGTAACTTGCGATCCTGTCGTTGCAAGAATTGTGATGTCAGACAATTAATTAAAAATTAGCAGGTCTTATAATGGGGCCTGGGCTCCATCGACCCTCCTCTTGGATCTAATCAACTAGACCTTTTAGCTAGTCTCGTATCCAGGCCTTCCATGGCCAAGTAGTCCTACATTCCAGTTGCAGCTACACGGTAGGATCCCCCCCCCACACCCACTCATGCCTCCCTGCCGAGATAAACATAATCTGGCAGTAACTGATGATTGGTCACGAATCTGCGTTGCACTCTTTGTGTTTAAGGCTACATCTTTATGAATTTGCAGTAAGACATTGTGTTTCCTTTCCCGTTTACTCAGCCATCTGCAAAGACGAACACAAATATTGCGCAAGTTGGATGAAAGAGCCTGGAGATTACTGCAAGAAGTACGAATCATACATGAAAATTTACTGCAAGAAGAGCTGTGGAAATTGTTAATTGATACAAATTTTATTCCCATTTCTCATAGTCGATCGATGATTAAAATTCATGATTGAGTGGCATTTCGAAATAAAACCTTGGTGTTAAAAAAAAATTATTTTAAAAAGACTAAGAGTTATGGACGTTTTTGATCATAGTTAATGATTTCACATCAATTTCCTACGAGCATCATCTTGGAATTTGCAAGTCGATATTTTTCCACGAAGAAAAATCATCTTTTTTTAGCAGTGTTGTTTGATAATAGTGCTTTTTTGGTGGCTTTTTTTTTTTGTTTTTCACAAAATGCGTAATTCCAAGACAGGGCTTTTCGTTGTTAATATATTATGATATTATGAGTTAAATTTGTCATTAAGAAAAATAAACGCTGATTTGTAATTGCATAAGAGTAGAATTGTGATTCATGGGAGGACAGAAAATATTCGTTTCACTGGGATGTTTGTTATATGAGTGTTCTCGTTCAGAAGAATGTCTGCATTTGCAATTATGAAGGAGATTGTACTCAATAACAAGACGGAATGAGATGTTCATACATGAATATGGTGTAAATAAAATAAGAGAGATAGTAAGTTTTGAGCTTGGTAAAGAAATAGAGAAAGATGCTTTTTTGTCTTGTCACGAGCGTGGGAAAGAGAAAAACTTCTAAGTCCCCATGGGGAATTGAAAATCAGACCTTCAGTGCTCTACTAGTGAGCCACAGAGGCTGACATTTACAAACATGACGACCCTTAATTAAAAACATGACGCCATCAACATTGCTGATCCTAGCAGTATGCAAGACGCGTGTCATATGAGCCTCTTACTAATCCTCGCTTCCCGTGGTCGCCTAACCCCGAGCAATATTGTCCCACTGAGCAGAACTTTATTAAAGCCTTCGTTCAAGTCATGAATTCCTTGGGGAAAAAAGGTATGGCAGTCGAGAACGATAGAAAAAGGCTG